TTTTGGGGGTTAAGGTACTCAGCCCCTACTCTCTGGTTCCTAGTAGGGAATGGGGGAATGGATCCCTATGATAGTCCCTTAAGGTCCCTTATAGGACATCCGAAACCCAAAAGCCAACACGGTAAACTCCTTAAATCCCTAGGCCCAAACCCTGAACCCTAAATCCAAAACCCTAAACCCTAAACCCAAAGCCCTAGACGCTAAACCCAAAGCCCTAAACCCTAAACCCAAAGCCCTAAGCCTAAACCCTAAACCCTTCATCCCAGAACCCTATGTCCGAGTCCCCGGAAGCTTTGGAGGAAAGACCCTCGTGGATGTGCCCGGTCTCAAGGACAAGGTGGAGGCGCAAAGGGTGTCTTAGAAGGCTTAGGGTTGAGGGTTTAGAGTTTAGCGTTTGGGGTTTAGAGTTTAGGGTTTGAGGGTTTAGGCTGTCAGCTTTAGGGAGTAATGTCAATATCCCTAGATATCGAATGTAGAAGGTCTGAAGGTTCACATTAGGCTTTCGGACCACTCCAGGAGTCTACTTCGAACCCGTACATCCACCAAGCTACTGGGTCTAGGACAATTTCAGGTGGGCAGTTACCGTTATAGGAGCCTTATAGAAGAAGGTCTATATACCTTATAGAAACCTTATGCTTTCAGTAGGCCCTAGACCCTGCAAAACCGCAAAAAAGCCGTTCTACAAAGCCCTTCAAGCCCCCGTAACCTCTGGGATGGGAGACTGCCTCCGAGACATTCCTGGTTTGGGGTTGCAGGGCAGGTGTAGGTACCTCAACTCTGAAGTCTACCGTTCCCTACACCCTAGCCTTAGATCATCTTCGATCAGTCCCAAAGCTCAAGCCCAAGCCATGGACCCTCACCCTAGACACCAAGTGCTGGGTCTCTTGGATCCCAATCCGTGGACCCCAAAACGCCACACCCAGAGGCTTAAATCTCCTAAGATCCTGAACCCTAAACCCCACTATGCATCTTTTCCGCAAGCCCAGCTCGGGCACGAGGTGGGCGTGCTCTGTGAGTTCAAGTACATGGTGAAGGGCACCAAGGAGGCGACACATATCAAACGCGAGGGCAACAGGGCCTTGTAATTCAGGATCCTACTTTCGGGTCAATCTACAGAACGAGGATTCTGCCGTACATGCTGCCCTTTTTTTCAGGGCATCTTAACCCTTAACCCCAAATCCCAAACCAGCAACTCTATAACCATGATAAGGAACCCCCCCAAAATAGTATAGGTAACTACTAAGGCCCCCAAAAGAAAGCACCAATTCCCCCAGAGAGAGAGCAGGCCCTAAACCCTAAACCCTAAACCCCAAAAGAAAACCCTAATCCCCCAAAAGAGAGAGCAGGCCACTATACTATAATTATAAGAAGGAATCCCCAAAAATAGTATAGGTAATTCTTAATCCCTCAGAGAGAGAGCAGGCCCTGACCGTGGCCACCACCCGTCTGGAGACGATGCTCGGCGACACGGCCGTGGCCGTGCACCCCGAGGATGACCGGTACAAGGCCCCAGGGCCTCTTGAATGTAGAGGGTTGTTTTTGCGGGTTTTTGGGGGTTTTAGAGGGCTTTTTGGAGGGTTTTTGGAGGGTTTTAGAGGGTTTTTAAAAGGTTTTAGAGGGTTTTTTTAGAAGGTTTTCGAGGGTTTTTAGAGGGGTTTAGAGGGGTTCTACAGGAAAATTTACAGGGTGCTGGGGGTCAGAGGGCCGCACTGTCTGGATTCTATGCTTTTCGAGCTTTTGTTCAGCTCAGGTTTTGTATGTTTCTACCATAAGGCCCAAACCCTAAGCTAAAGATGCGTAGAGCGACCCCTGCTCGGGACTTTGAGTGTTTCATACTGCAGCAGGGACCAGAAAGGGGGTGGTGGTAGTAGCAGTAGTAGTAGTAGTAGTAGTCGTCGTCGTCGTAGTAGTAGTGGTAGTAGTGGTAGTGGTAGCGGTAATGATAGAGGTAGTGGTAGTGGTAGCGGTAGCGATAGTGGTAGTGGTAGTGGTAGCGGTAGCGGTAGCGGTAGTGGTAGTGGCAGTGGNNTAGTCGTCGTCGTAGTAGTTGTAGTAGTAGTAGTAGCAGTAGCAGTAGTAGTAGCAGTGGCAGTGGTGGTAGTAGTAGTAGTACTACTACTACTACTACTACCACTACCACTACCACTACCACTACCACTTCCACTACCACTACCACTACCACTACCACTACTACGACTACTACGACTACTACTACTACTACTACTACTACTACAAGCATCTCGGCTGAGACTTGCCAGCATCCCGAAGGGTAGCGGCCTTCGTTGTTCTATTGCGGTGACAGCCTGCGACTGATAGCTGTGCTCATCTGCAGTGCTCGAATTTCCAGCTCTGTCAGTTGCTCAAAGGCTTATGAGTGAAACAGCGCGTTTCCATCTGAAATGGACTTTGCGGATTGGTCAAGGAATCCTTGGCCTCATCGGACTGCTTGAGGCATGCTGGGTCACAATGCCAACAAGATACCAGCTTCCCCTGCCCGCGAATATGCCAGAGAATTGGTCCAGAGAAGGCAGCCGCGCATGCAGTTCAGAAATCATCTGGGACAGTGTATGTTGCAAGTGGCCAATGGATGGTTATGTGACCCGGACTTCTTTAACAGCTGGGATATATTTTGGGTCACACACGAGGCCCACCCACAGGTCATTCTTTGCGCCTCTCGTTTGTCCTTGTACCCAACCTTCCCCCCCCCCCCTTGAATTTGAGAAGCTCACCCCTTCTCAGGGGGGCGAAGGGAATCGCGCGGGACATGCCCCGTGCCATGGCGTCGGCTCCAGCCTCGGGCCGGCATTTCCGCTGTATGTTTGCGCTGTGCCGGCGGGCGGCTGCAGGTTCTCCTGGGTTGCCGCTGGTCTCGCAGTTGCCTTTGCGGGCGATTTTGAGGGACTGGACGTTTGACGGCTGGCAGCATGATGCAGCCGAGCTCACACTGAAGTTCCTACGAGGCATTGGGTTGTTCGGTGGCCGTTGGGAGGCCCGATACATGGATGCGGCAGGACTCCAGACTCCACACTGCGGTGCAATGCCGCTGCTCATCGAAGTGACGCAACAGGAGTGCACCCTGCAGGCTTTTTACGCGGTTGGCAGCTTCAGGCGTTCATGCACGGGCTCACGGATGCCCCGGAGATGCTCGTCCTGCAACTCGGGCGATACCGCGATGGCCTCAAGCTTCACACTCGGATACACATCGAAGATACGGTCGCAGTGCCTCAGTTCACGGTTGGGGTTCAAGTTATCTAGCATCACAGCATCACTGTCAAGGCAACAGAGGTTCCATGCTGACGATAATGTTCCTGCCGTGTGGAGTGAGTGGGAGGTGGAACGCGAGCGGTGTGCGCATCTGGTTCGGCTTGTGAGGGAGGATTCGCCGGCTCCCGGAAGTGGTGCGCCTTCCGCTGCGTGACGGTGGGCACAATGGCCTTTTTGCCGATGGGGAAATGGCGGTGGAAGGAGCGGAGAAGTGGCAGCTCTACAAGAGTTACTGGCAACAGGGGATGGTTGCGCCGCCTGAGACGCCGGTGCTTTCGGAAAGATCAACATAAACGGAAATCGGCTCGGACAGGGGAGCCAGTGCATGGCAAAGGAGGAGTGGATGGGCGCGGCAAGGGCAATACTGGGGGTGGTGACCAGTTGGATGGCCGTGGTGGCCACAGCCACAAGCGTTTTGCCCAGCTGCGCAGTGCTGGGTTTGGTAGGGTCAGGGAAATGGCAATGGGCATGGCCATGGGCAACGGTGGGGCAGCTGGTCTCATGGCAATGGGCATCGAGGCTACGAGCGCACGGCTCCTCCTCGGAGTTGCGTGGGCTTCGCCATGCCGGTGGCTTAATGCACCGCTTGCTATTGAGACATGAAGATGCCATAGTCATCAGAAAGCTTGAATCGGCCTTTGTATTTCACATGAAATTAAACGTGGCTACTTCCATCATTCCCATGCTTTTCACGGCGGCGGCTTCATGGCGTAAAATCAAGGCGGAGCACCCCCAGCGATTGGACCGCCCGACGACAAGTACCTTGATGGTTTGTCTCTTTGCTGAGCTTGAGACGAGGCTCAAAAACCTTCATGGCAAGCCCAGGGCGATGGCGCACCTGGCCAAGTTTGGCTGGTTGGCGGATGGCCCCCCTATGGCGTGGAAGTATCTTCGATGGGAGTCCTCCTCAAAGTGCCGTGTTCGCCGATGACAGTAAGCCACCCATGACTCAGGCGGAAATCTTGGAGTGCACCGCGAGTTTCCTTCAGCTGATTCCTCGTCAATACTGTGTTGCTCGCTTCCATCCTACGAGGTCTATGGCGGAGGAAATGACTGGTATTTCTTCTCCAGACGGGGCTGCGCCGGGAGTGGAATGCCGAATTCTAGGACAATCTGCACAAGTTGTGTCATTTTTAGCGTGGCTCGATTCAAGGAGGATCGTGCTGCGAGGTCCACTTTGGCCAATGCGGTGGCAAACTGATGAACCAGTGAAATGGGGGTCTACGTGCTGCGGGGCCCGTTGTGATCGACCGTATGCTAGTGGTGGTGGTAGTAGTAGTAGTAGCAGCACTAGTAGTAGCAGTAGCAGTAGCAGTAGCAGTAGCAGTAGCAGTAGCAGTAGCAGTAGCAGTAGGAGTAGGAGTAGGAGCAGGAGTAGTAGTAGTAGTAGTAGTGGTAGTAGTAGTAGTAGTAGCAGCAGCAGCAGCAGTAGCAGCTGTAGATGAAGCCGTG